CCCACTGAATTTTAGGGGATCACAAGTATCTTGGGTTTGGAATAGAGCTTAATACTTATATGATCAAAACATCTGCCTGAGCCAATGTTTCCCTCTGGAAAGCTGTGGCTTTCCCACTGCAGTCATAGTGCGGACATGGGGAACTCAGATGTCACCACGACAGGCATTGGAAGCTACCCCGGGGCCATTTATAAAACCACCACCACCTTGATTCCTGGTATTTTGTGTTCTCCAACTGGTGGCCAGCCTGGCCTGATCCGGCATGAATCATGGGCACAAACAATAAGTGAAGCTTGATATTGAAGGCTAACAGGGCCGGAGTCCCCAGGGAGGGCAGATGTGGACAGGAGGAGGGCAGAGAGCTTAGGAAATTGCTCTCAGCAATTGGTTTTTCTCTCCTGAGTTTCATGTTGCTGAATTCCTATTCTAAAAATGTGAATCCACATAATCTTTTCTCCAGGGTATTTAAGCTCTGAGGTCAATATTGTCCAGATGATAGATTTTCTATACATTCAAAATAGAAGAGGCAGAAAAGTTAAAAAAAATTAGATTCTCTTTGACCTACAGTTTGTTTTCCTGTCTCTCACTTACCCTTGATTTTGTAGGACTTTCCAGTTATTTAGATAACCGAAGGAAGAGAAGGTGGTTTCTCTACTTACCTCTTCACATTCCTGAGTGAAAGCAGCTGGTGTGTTTTCTCTGTGGATTAGTTTTATCATTTTGGGAGGCCTGTCAGACATAATTGGATTTAATCCATGAGGAGAAATGACAAGCCATTTCAGTTTCTGAAGAGACATTTGAGGCATCTGAAGCCATTTGTTTTTTTTTTTTAAATCTGTATTATTTTGGAATTTTGACCATTCTTCTGGCTTTGTTTCCCATTCTTCTTATGTTTATTCTCTATTTTTTACCTTCTAATTCTACTTATGGAAATAATAGTAGTCACGTTGCAGAATGTTAGATTGTAAACCATATTTATTTCTAAAATGTTTACCTTTTTAATTTCTGCATTCTTTATCACTTCTTCTCTGACACATAGAAATGCCACACATTATGCTCATAGATAAGCCAGCAAGTGGCTTGCTTAGCGCCATGAGAGCAACCCATAGTTAAGGGTGATGTTTCAATCATTATGTCTCACAGAGAGAAAAAAAGTTTTGGGAGTGGAAGGAAGAAGGAAGCTGGCTTTCTTCCTCTGAGGTCAAAATAGTTTGAGAGGAAGAATTTTCAAAATATATGTACGTGCAGAGTTTTCCGACACTAGATACTTGGTGTCTTCCACACCAACAGCCAGTTCTCTGATTCTCAGGACACCAACTTGGTGTCCAATCGTTCAATTTGATTCTGATACCCTCTACCTGGAGTTGGCATCAGATCTCTCAAGTTAAGGGCTTAGTCCCACAAGACTGCCCCCACTTCAGATGCCTCCTGCATATGGGATGCCCATGCTATGCACACTTCTGTCCAGCTGAGTTCAAATTCAGAGTTTCCCACTACCCCCTCTCAGGTTCAGTAATTTTCTAGAACAGCTCACGGAGCTCAAGAAAACATTTTACTTATGTTTTACTGATTTATTATACAGAATACAGATCAGGGATAGCTGGATGGAAGAGATGCGTAGGGCAAGGAATGGGAGGAGGCATGGAGCTTCCATGCGCTCTGTGGTGAGCCACCCTCCTTGCGTCTGGACGTGTTCACCAGCCTGGAAGCTCTCTGAATCTTATTGTTCAAGGGTTTTTAAAACCCAATCTCCAGCCCTGCTCCTCTCTAGAGATAGGGGTGGGGTGAGGTTGACAGTTCTCGCCCTCTGGTCATGTGGTTGGTCTTTCTGGTGACCAGCTGCACATTGCCATCCTGAGGCTATGGAGGGGACCACCCTAAGTCACCTCACCTCGTTAGAATAACCTCAGATGTGCTCAAAGGGGGCTCTTCATGAATAACAAAAGACACTCCTATCACTCAGGAAATTCCAAGGGTTTTAGGAGCCCTGTGGTAGGAACCTGGGACAATGGCCAGCTATATTTCTTATTATACCATAATGGATATTTTTCTAAAAACAAAGACAACTTTCCCGTTCTTTGCTCTTGCTCTCTCTTTCTCTCTTGCGATAAATATTTCCAGGCCTGCACATGCACACACATTTAAAAAGAGTTTCTAAAAGAGATTCTAATGGGCCCAGTTCTCAGCCCCATGGAAGGATTGGGATTCTCTACAGTGCTTTTTAGATCAAGGGCCCCTTCTTGCCTTGTATGTTGCCTTAATAACCCACACACTCCTCTCGAAGATTGAATGAGAAGGAATCACACAGAAATAGAGAGAGGAGTGAGAAGCACAGGCTGTTCTGGATGTGAAGATCTGAGAGTGTTAGCCTTTCTAGGTTGATGCTTATTTTCAGGTGCCGTATATGGAAAACATGTTGGTTGCTGTGTAGGAAGATTTTTCCGTGTCGTCCCTGCCCTCCAGGACCTTCCCAGGGATCTGCCTGGGAAGTGAGTGCTTTGAGAGGATAGAAAACCTCTTTCTGGAACTTGATTGTTTACAGGCCCCTTTCTACATCCATCCTTAGGAAATCTTCATGGAAACCTGAGGGATTGTGAGCTCTGCTCCGGCTCACAGGGCACACAACACCAAAGTTCCCACTCTAGCTCCCAACACTGAATTGGTACTCAGTCTTTTCCATCTTTAGCTGCAGCTCAGTTATTTCAGCTCTCACATCCTCTATAATTTAATAAAATGGAGGAATCCCTCTTTCTTCTAAAGCCATCATCTATGGCATGCCTACCAGGGCCATGTGATGTTTACCTGCCACTACACACGTTATCTCAGGTCATCTTTACAGCGCCGACGTGTGAGGTAGGGCATGTAGGAGGAAACTGCAGCTCAGAGAGAGTGATTTACCTGCTCGAGCTCACACAGCTCTTCTCTGCCAGAACCTTGGTGCAAACCCCGGTCTGTCTAATTCCAAAGCTTCCTGCAGCCCTTCTCTCTGCCCCTCCAGTTTGGCTTTGGAGTAAGGGAGGGCAGTGTGAGCAGATGGGCAGCGCCGTCAGGGATGAGGAGCAGCCCCCGTATCATGGTGCACAGTCTGCCAGTGCAGAGAGATTGGACTGGAAGAACCAACAATGGTAAAGCTGGAGGATCGCTCTGCTAATGTCAAATAACGCAGGTCTGAGTCCTGAGCCAGTGACTGACTGAAAAAGACATTGCTTCTCTGTGCCCCGATCTCTTGTAAATAGGAGTGTAATCTTCCTGACATGTCTGGATCCTGGTGAGCACAGGTATACATACGCACGACACTGAGCAAGCCATGAGCTATGAGATTGTGGTAATGAAATCACTGGGGCTGGGTCTGGAAGGGCTTATGCCCATAATAAGAGAGAGAAAAGAAGGGAGCACTGGGCAAATGGTGCAGAGATGGAGCACGCCTCAGCAAACACAGTTTAGCTGGCGTCCAGGCATTCCTGCAAACAACTTGAACAAGACTGGCCCTTCCTCGGTGCTGTGCTGTCTTGACCTTCCCTCCACTCTCCCTCCTCTCCTCTCCTCCTTCCCCCAACCACACGCATCTAATTAGAAACAGCAGCCAGGTGGGTCTCTATCTTGAATGCCCCAGATGATACTTCAGCACATTATACATGGACACACCCTCATTCTCAGAAGTCCATGGCTGTAAAATGATGTTACTCCCTTGCATATTACCTCGCCTGATTTCAGATAGTCCCAGAACTGGGACAGCCATTCCAGATTCTTGCCTGTTCTCTCCAGAGGATGGTGGGATCCCTGGGACGCCCTTTAACCCCTTGTTGCCGGTCTCAACGGCTTTGAAAATTACAGTTTCTTTCCCCCCTTGATGTTGTTCTTGTAACTTTGCATCAAACTCATTGGGTCTAAAATCAAACTGAAATTACTATGCACTTGATGCGTTTCTTTGTCTCACTTGGTATAAATATGCATGTTTTACTGCAGAGATAATGAGGTATTTGATTATGGGGAGCTGCCCTGGTCCCAGCTGGGGGTGTTGCATCATATACTTTTCTAAATCTGAGAAAGTCTGAGCTCCAAAGGACAGGTGGCCCCAGCGGGATTGGATGCAAGATGGGGGCCTGTCTCTGGGCCCACCCTGATTATGGAGCACTTGGAGGAGCTGCTGAGTCCAAACCTGCAGCCCTGAGACCCTGGTGGGGTGCTCCTGGTTGTATAACAGCTGCAGGCGGGTCCCACTGAGCAGCCTTTAGAGAAGCAGTGGACCCCAGGTAGGGCTGATGTGCATGGTCCGAGGAGGAAGGACACCAGGCACTGGCTTTCCTCTGGCAAAGGTCACTAGAGAACCAGATTAGGGCCTGGCCCCAGGAGATATACTGTGTTCGTGTGTTTATGAACATTTCCCGAGTCCTCACCTGCATCCTTGTGTCCTAATTCAGAGTCTTACCACCAAGGCCGAGTGTTTGCCTTGTCGGTTTATGGCATCAGAAGCACTATTCCCACAGGAAAATAAGAATTCACGTCTAGAAAATTACCCTTAGAAGTTTCTGAGGGGTTGCCATGCAGCTGCACAATGTTGTTTCATGAAATAAATATTCCATATTTCTCCAGCCTGGTTCTTATTCCAATTGAAATAAGTGAATTTATTTTTCCAAAGTGTCCTTATAATGGAAAACTTTGAAAGCAAAACAGTTATTCATTTGGCTAGAAATAACCCATCTGCTGTGGGAGAGGAAGGCTTGTGAGTATGCAGTGGACTGGAATTAACTTTAATGCTACTGTCTGAATGTGGTCATGGTAACAGCAGGATCTTAAATGTGATTTTTATGTTATTCATGGTCATTTTGAAAGGTATTATTTAATCCCCCATTTCCTTGTATTTTATAGATAGCAACTCAATTACATAAATAAATGTCTGGAACTCTCTTTGGTTTTGAACTTACCTAATAATCTCTTATGAGAAATATCAGTAGACAAGGAAGCAAAGTGCTGCTAATGTCATTTCCTATGTGTGTCAGTCTTGGACAGATCACTATTTACAGTGGAATATGTCAGAATATCCGGGCGTGAAGAATGTTCGTTTCCCAGATGGCCAGATTTGGAAGCCAGACATTCTTCTCTATAACAGGTAAGCACAGTGGACGAAAGGAAAAATGATTTTGTTATTGCATATGTTTCAGTCAAGCATATTTGAGTATTTTATAGAAATGCTGGGTACATTATTTATAATTTGAGACTATTGCACCCTACTTGGCTCTGTAAGCAGCCAGACATTTGAGAACCAGCTCTGTCCCCTCTCCAGTGTTCTCTGCCATGACATGCAGGTTCGAGTCACCCAGCATGCTGCCTAAAATGGCCATGTCCATAGGATGTGCATCATAGGTGCGTAGATTATTTCCATGCATCTTGGTGCTGAGGCATTCTCGCATGTGGTGGTACCTTTGCCCCAAGAGGTTGCCAGCCTGTAATAGTGCTAATCAATGAGTCACCAATGAAATAGAATATATGTTCTTCGCAAGTGTCTTAGGCTCCCTGAGAAGTTAACCCAAGACAAGGATACACAGCTGGGGATTTTGAGAGATGTTAAGCTTAATACTTTCTGCCGGCTTCCAGGCACTCAAAATGATATGTTCTCTCAGTAGGTTCATGTAGGTTCATTAATGTGTGTGTGTAGTGGGCTTTCCTTAAGGAGGGGAACATGCCATCACTTTGTGTAAACCATGGTTTTGAAAGGAGCATTGATTCAGGATAGGGGAAACATCCCAAACATGTCCATTACATCTTTCACTCTTTTCCAGTTTGACATTGGAGTCCAGGCGTGAGCCACTGATAGTTTTTTAGATATAATACGTTTTCCGTGCTGTGATGAGGCTGGGTCACTGCAAAACAGCCATCTCTGCATCGTTTCTGGGATGGGCTGCTTTATTTCACTGATGGATGGTGAGCAAGTTACACTGTCACCAGCCAGCTGACCGGGCTGCTCTGAGGAGAGGACAAGCAGATAAAAGCATCTTTGCCAGGTGCTCATTCCAGGGGTTTCTTGGTTGCTTTATTCTGCTTTACTTTAAGCTTGCAGTTCAAGGATTTTTCCAAATACAATCTTGCTCAAAGTGAGCAGCAATTGTGGATGGCTTCTCACGATTTTCCTCCTTGGATTGAATGAAAGGCATTGCTGGTGTTGGCAGTCACTTGCAGAAGAAAGCCTGGGCCCCAGCGACATGTTGGCCGCCCCTGCATTATGCACCTGCAAGCAGCTGCCTCAGCCTCTCTGGCCTTCTCTGTTCTTGAGCTGCTCAGTCAGAAAATCCCATAACAATAATGGAATCTTTTTTGATGAATGTGTTTGAAGACGTTTTTGTTGGCTCTGAATTTTTAGGACAGAATGGGGTGTCAACCATCCCTTTCTTACAGCCTGTGCAGAACTACATTTGCATGTCTGCAGGCTCATGTCTGGCTCTGAGACTGCAGTCCTCTGGCTACAGATCCCTTTCTGTCACACATTCCCATGACCCTGTGGCTGATGGCGGAGCCTGGGAGGGGGCGATATATGCAGGCCACATTTGGGTGCAGTGCGATCCAGCCTGCGAGGGCTTGCAATTATGCTCATAAATGAGTCGCCAATGAAATAGAATGTATTCCCTCCACATGTGTCTTAGGTTCCCCCAGAATTCAACCCAAGATAGAAATTTTAGTGCATGCAGTTTATTTGCGAAGAGAAGTGAGACAGGGAAGGGAGGGAAACCAATATAGAATTCCTTAAAAAGCAGGCTATGACTGTGCACAATAGGGCCCATTCCCACTGGGTTTCTCTGGGGTGTTTATCTGCCAGCTCCCTTCTGTCATAGGTTGACAGGGGTCTCACCTCCTGGCACCACCTCTGATTGCCAGCCCCATGCAGGGACTGAGTGTGCTCTGATAGCCAGAGCCTCGAGCCTTGAGCAGGGTTGCAGATGGTTGGAGTAGGCAGCTGTCAGGGCCTTGGGCACGGGAAAGATAGCTGTCGACATGGTCAGCTACAGTGCAGATGAGTTGGACACTCAATTTCCAATTGTTTTCACCTTGGCCTGATTGAAGATCCAATCGCAGCTCCCGGGGGCTGAGGGAAGGGCAGCAGTGATGTGAGTGGTAGAGAAAGTGTCCTAGGACTCAGGGGGTTTCTCAGCCAAAGCAGAGGAGGCAGGCAGGATACAAAGGTAACAGAGAAGAGGCAGGACTCACAACCTTGTGAGTGGTGGCTGTTCCACTGTGGGCTTTTTGTGTTATCGTGGTATCACATGGGTCCACATGTGGAATGGGATCTTAGGGAGCAAATCTCTTAGATTCAGCGTTGTCACTGTTAATGGCTCCTGGAGAAGGTTAAGTGGTTGGTAATCAAAGGCCCACGGTGCAATCATGGCTGGTTGGGGGTTGGGAGGCCCGGGAGACCATCACTGAAACGACATCAGTAGCAGCTCTTGGATGTGGCAGGAATCTCCAGCTGAGGAAAGGTAATTTGGATCTCAGAGAAGGAGGTTTTGGGAGGTGCAGTTATAGCATCCGTGTTGTCAAATATTCTGACCTAATCTGGGGGGAGGTAGTTTCTAAATGAAGTGTGATGGAAAGAGGTTAGAGCAGTAGCCTGTTTTCAAGAAGTGAGTGCAACTGGCCAACCTGTGTTTGTGTCTCCAGAATCATCCTCTGAAATGTCCATCCAGACCTCCCCTTCTCACCGCTGTAGCTGTTTTTCATTTGTTCACTCACTCAACCAATATTTAGTGAAGGCTTACACATTGTCAGCACACACTGTTCTAGGATCCGAGGACACAGCAGCGATCAAGCCAGACAAAAATCCCTGCCCTTCAGAGAAAGGGAGAGAGAGAAGTGAGGAGAGGAGAACATACCAGATTATAGGTGCTCCTAGAAAATACAGCAGGGAGAGTGAAGAGCAGGTGCTGGAGCCAGAGGTGGGGCCTGAGACCAACAGACTGGCTAGAAGGAGGTGAAGGAACAAGTCGTACAGCCTCAGGGAGGTAAATGTTCTTGGCAGAAAGAACAAGTACAAAAGGCCTATCAGGAAAGGTTGTGAAAGAATTTGAAATGCCAAAAAAAAAAAAAAAAAAAATGTTGAAAAAGAGAAAGATGACCAGTGTCCTATGGCATGCTAGATGTGGTCACCTTCCAGGTTGTCCGATTCTGTAGTGGACTCAGCCAGTCATGGTCTTTGGACTAATTTTCAACTCTGTAAGTTCTAGAAAACTGATAGCAATGCAAATGACTCTAATCCCTAGAGAAGCAAATCGATTTTGTCTGGTGGACTGATTCCTCTGTTACCAGATTGGATCAGTGTTCTGGGTGGCCTGTGTACATGTCTGTTCTTTGGATGCTCCTCAGAATTAGTTTCTGACACCTTGCTGGCTCCCTCATTAATTAATGACTTAAATCTTTGACACATGTTCATTTTGTATTTGTGTAAGTGTCATGATTTTATCTTTTAGAAAATGTATCTTTTTCTGATTTCCCTGAGGCAGGAACATGTCATCAAGTGTGTCCGAGGAACAGAAGGGGCTGGTGTGGCCGGAGTGTGTAGGGGGAGAGGGTCAGAGACACAAGGGGGTGCAGCCCACGTCTCAGGTCTTGGCTTTTACTGTCAGTGAGATGGGAGAGGCTCTGATCCTTTTTGTAGAATTTTGTTTCCTTTCTTTTTTCTCTGAGTAATTGTCAAAGTACTTATTCGTATTCTCTTTCTGACTTGTTATCAACTGATTCCCATCCTGTGGTTTTCTGTTCAGAAGTTATTGTCTGTTCTCTGCTTGTATACCCCTCCCAGCTTACAGCAGTGTGTTTTGCTTTTTTTATTTCGTCTGCATCTCAGTAAAATTGAGAGAGGCAGGACACGAGAATGTGTGTCATCATTCAGCCACTGTGAGCCGACACTCCTCTGCCTCAGGCTGACTTGGAGCCCAGCCTGTCTGCACCAGCCTGGACTGTCACTCGCGGACGTTTAGCAGCCCTGCTTGGTTCCCCTCTTTCTGCAAAGGGCTTCAATGGCTCCAAAGTCAGTATTAGCATCCACATTTCTCAGAGCAGGCAAATGATGCTCAGAGAGGTTCAGCCACTTGCCTGAGATAACCCAGCAGAACATGCCTGACTCCAGAGTCTGCCGTACCTCAGGCTGGCCTGCTTCTGGTCATGGTTTTAGAACTCTTGTGTTTTATTTTTCTGCAGGTTAGACAAAGCGAAATAATTCCTCTCTCCCTCCCTCTGAGTTTACTTCTCTGGGCCTTAGCCTTTTGTCTTTCGTTCTGGAAGAGGGGAGCCTGTCTCTTCCCAACATCAGCTGCTGTGGGATTTTCATACTATGGCTTCCTGATAATCTTTCCTCAGCATCTGACATCCAACATTTCTTTGACCAAATCCCTTGCCAGCCAGCATGGAATGACAAAATGCAAACCGCTGTGCAAGGATCTGAGCAGAATTTCAATCAGGGCCAGGGGCTCATGTGAGTGGAGTTTTCTAGGGATGGCTTTGCATCCAGGATGGCCTGGGCAAACTGTCTTCCTGCCTGTGATGCAGGGCCAGTCCACTGAGCAACGTCACCCCCCTGCACTCTGAGGCCTGCAAGACAGATCGAGCCCAAGAGCACGGCTTTTGGAGATGAGCTTATTGATCTTTGTGACATTAGACACAGAGCCAACATGATTGTAGGGGTCTGTGTAATAAATACGTGAGACAGGAATTCAATGGAAAGTTCGGTGATCATCAAGAGCTGCCTGAGGGAAGGGAGGGCAGGCAGCGCAGTGGTGGGGGCCAAGGTCAGGTCACCCTCATCCTGTCCCTCCCCAGCCTGCTGTGAGAATCCCTGTGAATTTCCACTGCTCGCCCAGGGCTGTGCTCGCTGGCCGCCTGCATGGAGGAGCACATAGGGAGTTGTGATTCACAGGGGAGAGATGCCTGAGAGGGGAACTGGTCCGCTCCTGACCCCCTAGGACCTCAGCTCTGCGGGGTGCCAGGCTCATGTGCCCCACGCATGTATCAAAACCTGGAGAAACCGAGGCTTGTAGGGCATGCCACGGGGCTAGTGTAGCTGATGCTGTCAGTTCAGCTCAGGGGAATTTTCTGAGGACCCCCTATGTGAGAAGATACCATGCT